GAGTTCGAGGCCAGCCTGGCCTACAGAGTGAGTTCCAGGACAGCCAGGGCTACATAGAGAAAACCTGTCTTGGAAAACAAAACAAAACTAGAAAGAAAGAAAATAATTTTAATTGCATTTACTTTTTGTATGGGGATGTGCAGGCCATGACATGTAGAAGTCAGAGGACAGCTTGCATGACTGGTCCTCTTCTGCCATGTGAGTCCCATGTGAGTACTGGAAGTTGTCAAGGTTGGCAGCAAACATCCCTAACCTTGGAGCCATCTTCCCAGCCCCCAAGGTCTCCATTTTCAACATGAGGTGAGACTTGGCACCTGGCACCAGGGTTTGCATAGAGGCCAGAAGGTAAGGATGAAAGTCAAGCTCTAAGACAGGAGATCTCGTCCATTGGAAATGGGGTCACAAAAGCCACAAGAGCCTAGAGGAGTTGTGGGATTATGGGCAAATCCAGAGGGAAGACAGGAGAAGAGGGCAGGAAGGGGCACAATAGCCCGGCTAGGCGGAAGGAAACTGCAGGATTGGAGCCCCGGGGGTGGTGGGACGAGGTCTGGAGAAGAGGGACAGCTGTACCCTGAAAGAACATGGATGGGTACCTCCACCTCCAAGAGTACCAGAGGGCTCTGGACAGGCAACAGTCACTTCCTCAGACTCAGGGAAACATTGACACTGGCCAAAGGAGAAACCTACCCAGTTGCCACTGGTAGATGGGGTGCTGAGCTGGAAGGTGAGTCTGTTGTGAATGGACTGGAGATGAGGGCTAGGACCCCAGTACATCTCAGATCACGACGGGGAACACAGGTACCAGAAGAGCCTATTTAAGTCACGACACCAAATGTTAGCATTGCAGCTCTGATGGAAAGGTATCCATCAGATACAGTCGGGAGTCAGGGAACACTGCAAAGTCACTGTAATTGTTGCTGCTTACAGCTCTGCTCCTGGGAAAGGTCTCCTCATTGCAAATGTAGTAGGTCTGTTTCCCCAGCAAAAGTGTCACAGCTGGGCTTTGCTCCAGTGAAAGTGTCACACCACACAACAAACCTCACTCAAGAGATTTATTGGGACAGAAAAATCCAGGAGAGTAAGTAGCTGCCTTTAGGATGAGAAGCAGCCACAAACTGAACAGAATACAGAGCTTATATAGGATTTCTTGGGGAGGGTGGATGGACAAAGCTTTCCGGGGTGGGGTTTTGTGGCCTGATTCTGGGGCAAGCTCAGGGATTGGTGAGACTTTAAGTTCTTGGCTCTGGTCTTGGAGTCAAGTCAGGGTCAGGGTGTTTTCCTTGGCCCTTTTTACCCTATACTGTTTCCTTGTCCCCTTCCCACTCGCCCTCCTCTATCACTGCATCCTAGCCCAACACAGACCTCTCCTTTTTTCTCCTCTTAAAAGGTTCACCTGCAAGGTCATTTGCTGCTGTTTTTCTGCCTGAGTCAGAGAGTAGTCGTTTTAACTTTTCTTTCCTGCTTAATAAAGAATCTCTCTGTGAAAACAGGTGTTGTGTGTGGTTTGTAGTCAAGGAGGGAGCCCCATTGTGTCCATTTCACTTTCTCTGTTTAATTATTGTGTCACTAACTAATGCTGTTTTTTGTTTTAATAGTTTTACAAGACAGGGTTTCTCTGTGTAGCCCTGGCTGTTCTGGAGCTCACTTTATAGACAAGGCTGGCCTCGAAATCACAGATATTTGTCTGTCTTTGCCTCCTGAGTGCTGGGATTAAAGGCATGGCTACCATGCTCCACTTTGTTTTATGTTATTTGTTTTATGTTTTATGTTATTTTGATTAGCTGTGCACCACTAATATCTGTACTGGTAATGTAGGGCTGGACCGTAGTTGAGAGATAAGATATTTCCCTAGCATGAATAATACAACTCTTCAGCTTTGACCCTACCATCAAAAGAAAGTAATGGAGATTTAATCTGGAAGACCTACTGGGTTAGAATCATAAGAAACTTTTTTTTTTTTCAGTGTGCCAACCATTCACGGGTCTAATGACCTTTTGAGGAGTGGCTTAACATCTCTGAACATTAAAATTTTTAAAATCGCCAAGCGTTGGTGGCGCATGCCGTTAACCTCACCACTCAGGAGACAGAGGCAGGAGGATTTCTGTGAGTCCGAGGCCAGCCTGGTCTACAGAGTGAGTTCCAGGACAGGCTCCAAAACAATACAGAGAAACCCTGTCTCAAAAAACAAAAACAAAAAAATTAAAATCTTCCAAATAAGAATAAGAGGTCATAACTTATATCTTTGTGGTGGGGCTGGAGCCCAGGGCCACATGCTCGTTAGGAAATCACTCTATCAACTGTGCTATATTTCCAGCTCAAGGTTACTGTTTTGTTTTTGTTTTTGTTTTTTCGAGACAGGGTTTCTCTGTCTAACTTTGGAGCCTGTCCTTGCACTCACTCTGGAGACCAGGCTGGTCTCGAACTCAGAGAGATCCAGGTGCCTCTGCCTCCCGAGTGCTGGGATTAAAGGCATGTGCCACCAACGCGTGTTTTTTTAATTATCATTGTTTTTAGAGAAGAAGCTTTGTTTTAATTATTTTACAAAGCTTCAGATTCATTTAACTTTCTGATTCTCCACTTGTGCCTTAACACCATCACGATTTTTCTGCCTCAAGATAAGGAAAGCACGATTGATCTGGTCACGGCCACACAGAACCCCTGAGGCCCGAAGGACGTGTGCTTTTGTATGTTTTAGTCATTCTCACGTAAACTCTAGAACCCCTCTGATTCTGCCTGGACAAACACCAAATGTGGATTTTGTGCATTCCTGACCTTTTTTGTCATAAAGGTAAAAATCCTATTACAGGGTTTTGGGTTAGGCTGCTTACTATTTTTACAGGCCTCATTTTCCCCCCCCCCC